ATAAGCGTACAAAGATTACAACTCATAAACTCTAATTTCTGAATATACACAAGATTGAAACCAAGTAGCTCGATTTGATCGGTCACAACCCTAATATTAAACGAATACTATTTAGCAAACAAAATAGCAGTATCAAATGTACGATGTAAAGAGTTTTGCAAAGAAAAAAGAGAGAGAGACCTGGAGACTTNAATACTATTTAGCAAACAAAATAGCAGTATCAAATGTACGATGTAAAGAGTTTTGCAAAGAAAAAAGAGAGAGAGACCTGGAGACTTGATCAAAGTGAAGTAGAAGGAGGAACCAAATTGACTTGTTAGTTTACGTATTCTCCTCTTCCCCTCGCTAGAGAGAGAAAATAAAGTAAATAACACGTACACCTCTTAAATTATGATGTGCTAATTGAGTTCCTAATTTTTTTTAACCTTTTTTTTTGTGTGTGTGCGTGGATTTAACCCTTAAATTTTTTAATTATATCAATTGAGTCTTTCAGTCTACTAGATTTTCTAACAAAAAACGACAAAGTGTGTCAATTAAAAGTGATAAAGTGTGTCACTCAAGTGATACAAATGATTGAATAAATTATACGTATTACTCTCAAATTATGACTCTTCAATCAATTAAACGGTTGAATTTTTTTTCTAATATTATTTAAGTTTAATTTATTGACATGATATTTTATAGCCTAATTTACTGTAATTATTAGAATAATTGTGAGTCTTAATAAATTATATCCAAGTAATATTATTATTTTTATTATATTTTTGTTGGGTCGTAAGTTCAAACGGAGTATCTAATTCAAATTCAAAATAGTCCAGTTGCGTTAAGAAAAAAAATAGAAGAAACATATCACTCCTTGATACATAACTCGGTTGGTGGAACCCTACTCTTGTAATTTATTGTTGTAATTACAAATTGAATGTTTAATTGTTCATCTGATAATGATAATATCTTGTACTTAAATTGATAATTCATTTTTTGCACAAATTAACATGACATTAAATTGGCGAAATTGACAAATTTTACTTGTTTGTTTATTTTTGACCTTGACCTTGACAATAGTGATCCAATTTTGAAAATGCCACTGAAATGTTAAAGGCAACAGCCAAAAATACAATCATTTTAACATTGTTAAGGATAGATCTAAATAACATGTAATATCATAATTACAGCAGCAATGCTCACGAGTGTTTCAAGAGAATCAAATTATACTAAAATAAAAAAATCCCAAAAAATTTACCACAACAGGAAACCATAACTCTATGAAATCTCTGAATTCGACCAAGGAAGATGTATCATATACAGTTCAGACAATCTTAAAACATATAAAAGTTTATAGATCAAATGAATAGACTGATTCAAACACCACCAAGCAAAAGTTCAAAAAGAAAAAATTATATCGCACAGTATCTAACTAGAGTTAAGATACTAATATTCCCATTTCCTCATCTCCATGCCATCAGGAGGGCTTCCTTCCACCACCTTTGAACCCACTTCTTTCCAATTTGTGGATAACACTGTCCCATTCGACTCAACCTGTTAAACAGCACCGGGAAAAGTAAAAGGCAATATTTAATAAGATATGTTTTTGGTGATGCTTGACAAAAAGAAACTACAAACTTGTAAAAAAAAAAATCTTGAGAAATTGTTGGGTTTGCGTCTCAAAAAATAATATCTAGATAATTGATTTAGTATTTTTTGTATCTCAAAACTTGTTTAGTTATATAATTCCAAAAACAGTTATACAATAACCCAAAAAATAATAACACCATAAATGTTGTGATAGATTTTAAATTTTAGAAAGATTGTTTTCAGAAACACATAAAACAACTTTAACTTGTTCTCTAAATTAACCCACTATTTGTACACAATTTTCAAAAAACAAAAACAAAAAACAGCTGACCAAAATAATTTTTCTCTCAAAAACTATTTTTGAAAACAGAAAAACAATTTCTAAGACGCAAACCAAACAGGGCGTAAACAAGTTGGAATATTGTGGGAGCAAGATTAGGGAAAAAAAAGAAGAAATCAAAAGCAATGCACCCACAAACTAGTTTAAAAGATATTTCAATCTTACAAAAGATTTTTGCATGGCTCTTCTTGTGTCCTCATCAGCATCTTGGTAGATGCCGCGGAAAAATTTGTTCAAAGCTGCATCTCCATCCAATTTTTCTTCTTTTTCCTGAAGTTCAGACCACCAATAAAGAATGACCAAAAATGAAATTTTAAATTGTCCAAACTTTGCAGGTCAATACAAAGCTGGAGGAAGACCAGCATACAATTACAAGTTACAGGCATACCTCCTTTTTCATTTCTGCTTCCAGTTTATCCCAATTTTTTGTCGGTTTTGAGGAAGGATAAGCTGGTTTTTGATTGCCTATAAAATGCAACAGCAAAGAGTAAGCTTCTCAATATGAGAAAATAACGGCGCAAAGTAAGATTTCCCAAATTGGTTAGAAAGCTGCCCATCCCAAGCACGACTTGGGGTTGAGTATCACCCGTCCCATTGCGACTCGTCTCCCTTTCCCCTTAGAAGAGGCTAGATTCATCATTGTCTACCAAATACAGTCATTTTAGTTCTATTGGGCATATATTCTTTCTTTTCGTGTCACAAACCATCAAGTTAAACCAGCACAATCTCATTAACTGATATTTTTCTGATTTCAACCTCAGGTCAGGGTTTGAAAAAATCAATTACAGAAGAATGTTGACCTACCTGACGATACATTTATTTGCCGTAAAACTGTGACATCCTTGCTAAATTCAAAAGATGTCCAATGTATGGGTTCAGCTTTTGCGAGGCGTATTTCAATCTTTGTAGACAAAACTTCATATCTACATTTTGCAGGAATTATCTGTTTGAAATGAGAAGAACATTAAACGATAGAAATTAGTCTAAATCCATGAAATTATCTACAACTAATTCTGGTATCAAAGCAAAATAGATCTAGAAACAATTCAAGCAGACCATGATAAAGCAGAACCTGCTACATCACTTAATGAGAGAGTTTATGCATATCACCTTTCCAAATAACCGAGATTGAAGAGTATACGAATCTTCACCCAGCAAATCAATGGTAACACTCAGCTGCAAAGCAACCCAAGAAAAAAAATAGTTAATGTCCAAAAGATATGGCATTATATAGTGAAAAATAATTATGCAAAACACACAATTATCAGACGAACTAATAGAGACCAACATACTATTTGTTCACCATAGTCAACCGCAACACTTTTTGCTGGTATACCCTTTGCAAATATAGTCACAACTATTTCCTCTAGTTTCTGATAAAATTCATGCCTGCAAAATAATTGTCTCTTAGAAGACTAAATACGTATGAGCACTAAAGGCATTCCTTTTTACAAAAACTGAGGTGTGAAGAAAATGTAAACCTTCAAACACACACAAACTAAAGGGGCCAAACAAAATAAATATAAGAAACAAACAGCAATAAAGCTCGAAAGAAAGTCATGCATCACTGGCATCGGTTATATGAAGGCCCCTCAAGGACCATACGAATACTTAGAACACAGTTGTCCCTTTAATAATTCAAATTATATAGTTAACATATGATAACTTTAAAATTCTAATTGCAACAATTTTCAGGAAAAACCTACAAGATTCTTACCAACAATTAAGTTCATGACTAATAGACGTTTACCATTTTTTTCCCTGCCAGGCTAAGAGCAATACTGACATAACATCTATGCATCACCCAGGCTAAGAGCAATATTGACATAACATCTATGCATCACCCATGAAAGTGCAGAATTTATGTGAAAATCCTTTTTCTTGGTGTGGAAAGTTAAGAAAGTTTCAGATAATCAAAACTAAGGATAACACTTGTTAATTTTATAAATCAGCAAATTAAACATATTATTTACAATACTATTAGTTACTCAGTAATTCACTGTATGTAATTGAATATGTCAATAATCTTTAGATGAACTGAGTTAACCACAGAAATTTGGGTTTACCTGTATTTTGGTTTAGATAATACCATTGTGACCTGTTTGGAAAGGTTACTAACTGGCTGAGCATCGTTTGAAGCTACATCTCTTTCATCCAATGATTGGGAAGCAGTTTTGTCCAATGGTTGAGAAGCAGGAGGAATCATATCGTCAGTTGGGGCTTCATCGACTGATTGCACTGGCAGCTCAC